TTACAGTCCCACCAACAGTGTAAAAGTGTTCCTATTTCTCCACATCCTCTCCAGCACCTGTTGTTTCCTGACTTTTTTAATAATCACCATTCTAACTGGTGTGAGATGGTATCTCATTGTAGTTTTGATTTGCATTTCTCTGATGGCCAGTGATGATGAGCTTTTTTTCATGTGTCTGTTGGCTGCATAAATGTCTTCTTTTGAAAAGTGTCTGTTCATATCCTTTGCCCACTTTTTGATGGGGTTGTTTGATTTTTTCTTGTAAATTTGTTTGAGTTCTTTGTAGATTTTGGATATTAGCCCTTTGTCATATGGGTAGATTGCAAAGATATTCTCCTATTAAGAATGGTGTTTTTTAATCCCTAATCTTACCCAATGTTCCAGCAAAACATCCTGCAGATATGTCCCTTGCTCATTAAGGCAAACTAATTTAATAGTTTTATATACACAAATATTTCAAAGCTAATACATTGAGGAGTAATATGTTCATGTTTTCCCTTCTGGAATTAATACTAGTAATTAGTACAGTAACCAACACTTACTGACACACAGTAACATTTCAGTAAGTGTTGGTTACCTTTGTATGTATTCACACTTTAAGTAGGAACTTTTAAAATCTACTTTATAGGCAAAAATTGTGGCAATGAGAGTTTATATAAATTGTCCAAGGTTGCAGAGCTTTGGACAATTTATTTAGAGCTTAGATTTTGTAGAGATTGGATTCCAATTTAGGCAATCTGACCCTTTTTAAGAATAGACTTTATTTTTTAGAGTAGTTTTGGGTTTACAGCAAAATTGAATGAAAAGTATAGAGAGTTCCCATGCCACATCCTGCTCCCACACAAACACAGCCTCTCCAACTATCAGCATCCCCCCATGAGACTAGTACATCTGTTACAATTGATGACCCTACATTATAGGGTCATGACTAATAGAATATGACTATTCTCCATAGTCCACAGTTTACATTAGGGTTCACTCTTGCTGCTGTACATTCTATGAGTTTTGACAAAGATACAATGATGTATATCCGCCATGTTAGTATCACTGCCCTGAAAATATTCTGTGCTCTGCCTACTCATCCCTCTCTCCTCTCAGCTTCTGGCAACTGCTAATCTTTCTACTGTCTCCATAGATTTGCCTTTTCCAGAATGTCACATACTGTAGTTGGAATCATACAGTAAGTAGCCTTTGAGATTGGCTTGATCGGACCTTTAAATAACTATACTGCATTGTAAGAGTTATTCTTCCTATGCGTGGTACTGACCCTATATGTGTCATTAGCACAGAAGGAAAAGTAACCTGCATATGGCATGGATCTGATGCTTAGCAGCTAAATCACTTCCTCTTTCCTGGCATCTTCCCTTCCAACTCAGTTTTTTGAACCTCTCCCAGAGCCATCTCTAGAATCTGGGATCTGGATCACAGGCACACATCAATATCAAGCGTGGAGCCATCCCCCCGAGTAGAGATTCCAATTCCATGGTTTGGCATGGTGTGCCAACATTGTTGTAATTGTTTTAAGCACCTTACATGTGATCCTAATACATGTCGTTGGTTGAGACTCTCCATAAAACCCAATCTGACCATGTTCTCCCCCATTCATCCTGCTGTTCAAATTCCTTTCAGGGCTCCTTGCTACGTAGAGAATAAGACTTCAGAATGGCACCCAATCTGGCTCCAGTCTCCTGTGCAGTCCCTGTCCCCTGCCACATGGCACACACTCCAGCCAGGAGCTTTATCACTTCTTTCTACACATGCCTTCATCTCTAGCTGTGTGCCTAACCCTGAGCTGCCACTTCTTACTAATGCCACTTCCTACCTTTCCCACAAGACCAATGCCAAGTGCTATATCCTTCCCAAGACTTCCAAGGTGCCCTCAGTTGAAACTAGAATTCATCTCCCTCTTCCTTGCATTCTCAAAACACTTCCTTTGAATCTCAGCTATAACCCAGTCAGCATCAATTTCTCACTAGTTGCTCTTTGTCTGTCACAGCCCAACCCATCACTAAATCCGGGGTCCATGTTACTCCTCTTTCATTCCTAACACCTATCCAAATGCTTTTCACCTAGTAGATTCTTAAGGCTTGTGGCATTCAATTTAAGTAAATGTCAAAGATTCATGCCAAATTTTGTTCAACTATGGTTGAGAAGCCTGTCAAGAATAGACAGAAGCTCATAAGTAGAGTTCAAATTTAAATGTGCACGGGAATCATCTGGGGATGTTGTTAAAATGTAGGTTCTGATTCTGTAGGTCTGGGGTGGGGCCTGAAATAGGCACTTTCAGCAAGCTCTCAGTTGATGGTGATGCTGCTGGTCCAGGGACTAATCCTTAAGCAGCCAGGCCACAGAGGAGCTGTGGTTGAATCA